TGGGGATTCGAACCCGCCACCTTAGGTGTACGTGGCTGGTGCCTTAGCCGGTTGAGCTATAGGCGCTGAGCCATTTCCACTTCTTTTTTAACAGGACACACAAAACTACAACTACATTGCAACAACACCCCTTTTCATTATCAAACCTCAAACGTATTCATCAAAAATAAAATGAAATGATTTAATCAAGTAGTAATCAAGTAGTAACAGTATTTTGGGGCATGATTTATTTTTCTAAATATTTGTGGAATTCCTGTAAGCTTTCAAGGTACATGGTTTAAAATATTTTTATGTAGATGTGAGCTACTCAAACCTTATATTTGCTCTTTAAAGTGCATTTTAATATAATCTTTAGGTGTTTTAAGGCTAGATTTAAAGGGCAGAAAATCTTGAGAGCTAGACTCTATCCTAGAAATGTTAATTCATCTCCTTGCATTGGGGTAAGAAGGAGAAAAGGTGAAAGCCGAAAGTCAGACTGATTCTAAAAGAACCAAGTGAAGGCTTTTATTGATACCTTGCCCTTTGCAGAGTGCAGCTGTGAGTAGGTGACATTTGCTTGAGGCTTAACTCCAGTTGTTACTGAAGGGGATACTCTGGGTACTGCAGAACACAAATTGATAAATGGAAAAGAGGCTTTGCATTGAAATCTGCTCTTCTTAAAATTATTAATGGATCTAAGTTTTTAGAACTACATTCTAGTTAGTAAATACTGGTGGAGGGTATATTTCCATCTAGATTAATGGTGTTTTCCAGTAGTGATCAAAGGAGGTATTTTTTATAACTGTAGTTTCAGCCGACTCTAGCTGAAGGTATACTTAATTAGAATTTATTTTCTCATTTTCAGTATATCTTCATGTGTATCTGTTAAATCTGTGTTTTCCTTTAAGCGCTGTTCAACTTTTCTACTCAGTGAGGAATATCTTCCATTTGTTCCATGATGTTGTACCAACATATCACAAGTAAGTGTCACTGTCACTGTTTCTTATTTCTATATACCTAAAATGTTTGTAATTTAAGTTAAAACCAGCTCTTTTATATTCCCACCAAAGATATTTTGGTTACTAAAATTCACAGTAAAGTGCAATAAACCATTTTAAATCACATATTCATAAGATGTGGTCATTTAATACTAAATAAGGATACGATAATCTGGCTGTGTAGTGGGCGATGCAAATTAAATTCAAAAGAACTTTACCATGTTTTGATGCTGAGCATTTTCAGAACTGCATTACTTTACTTAGTTAAAAAATAAAAAAGGTGGCTCGGTGCCTGTTGCTCAAGCGGCTAAGGCGCCAGCCACATACACCTAAGGTGGCAGGTTCGAATCCCCAGCCCGGGCCCGCCAAACAACAATGACGGCTGCAACCAAAAAAATGGCCGGGCATTGTGGTGGGTGCCTGTAGTCCCAGCTACTTGGGGGGCTGAGGCAGGAGACTCGCTTGAGCCCAGGAGTTGGAGGTTGCTGTGAGCTGTGATGCCATAGCACTCTACCCAGGGGGATAGCTTGAGGCTCTGTCTCAAAAAAATAAATAAATAAATAAATAAATAAAAAAGGTAGCACTCCATATTGTTATCCGGTAAACATACCACATTTTCCCTTGGCGTTCATAGCTGCACATTTAATACCATGAAAGATCACTCTTTAACTGTCAAGTATGATCAGTACTCTGCCTGCCTGGTTTAGGCAGTATTTACCTGACATCTTGTGTTATGAAAGTATTTTTTTTTTAATGTTAATCTGAAAAGTTATTCATCTCTAAACCTTTTTGTTATTTGGACTGTTTTGGATGCCTTTTATAAATGTTTTTGGTAATATGTCAGCAGAGCTATTCCTTAGCCAAGGACTCTGCTTTCTAAGATAAAAATCAGTTTATTATTTAAAGTATTTTTGGCTCTTATTTTTGAATAATTGAGATGTTTTTATCTAGGCCCACCTGTTGTTTTTACTGTAAAAGAGAGCTTCTTTGTTGCGAACCTTATTATTTTTATTTGTATTCTCTGTGCTGTGGTTTAAAGTTTTTATTTTGTTTTTTACTTAGTCAAGTTAAAGAAATATTTAGTGCAGTTAAGAGAAAACATTTGGGTTAGCTGACAGTCTTGTCCTTGGGGACTCAGAAACATTTGGCTTAGAAGTTTTTGTGACTCAAACATTTTCCCTCTGTCGTGGAGTTAGATTTGCTCTTTTCCTTTGTATGATCTCAGAACTTTGTGCTGCACTGATGGTTCACCAACTTTAGTGTGCATTGAAATCAGCCGGAAACTGGCTCGGTGCCTGTGGCTCAAGTGGCTAAGGTGCCAGCCACATACACCTAAGGTGTTGGGTTCAAATCCAACCTGGGCCACCAAACAACAATGACAGCTGCAACCAAAAAATAGCCGGGTGTTGTGGTGGGCGCCTGTGGTCCCAGCTACTTTGGAGGCTGAGGCCAGAGACTCGCTTGAGCCCAGGAGCTGGAGGTTGCTGTGAGCTGTGACGCCATGGGACTCTACCCAGGGGGACAGCTTGAGGCTCTGTCTCAACAACAAAAAAATCACCTGGAAACCTTCTTAAAACATTTATTGCTGGATCTGTGCCCAAGGTTTCTGAGTCAATAGATATGGGATGGGCTTGGATTTTTAACAAATTTCCAGGTGATGCTTACTGTTGCTTGTCAGGGAACCACACTTGGAGAACCACTGTCCTTAGCTGATGGTTCTCAGCTTTGGAAATATTTTAGAAACACTTACTGAGCTTTAAAAATCAACATATTTGCCTAGGGTTAACTCTGCAACTTTTGATTTATAGATTTGGTGCTAAGACACAGACGTGTGGTTTTTTAAAAATCCCATAAATGATACTGATGTGTAGCCCAGAATGAGGACAGCTATCTTAGGTTGTTGGATTTCTTGCTTATGTATCCTGCTCTAACTTTGAGTCAGCAAATTAGAAAGTGTTATTTAAATGACTATTAGTAGATAAATATTAGATTTCTTCTCAAGCTGGGTAGATAGGCACTATTTGTGTTGAAGAATTAAACCAGTGATTTTTCAATCCTGAATGAAAATATATATCACTTGGGAAAATTTTTAAAAGTATAAAGGCCCTGGTTTTACACTCAGATTTGATTTAATTTGTTTGGGGTGAAGTCTAAGCTTCTGTATGTTTTGAAATTTCCCAGGTGACTTTAGTCTATAGTCAGCTTTGAATACCAGTGAATTAGAAAATACTTATATGCTTCTTTATATAAATGAAATAGGAATTTGGAGAAAGGGGAAGTAAACCTATATTTCCACAGACATATCAGCGTAAAATTTCAAGGGAATTATTAATCCATAGCTCTGCTGGGTTTCCCGTACAGAGTTGACTCAGGTAAACATCTTGATTCCCTTCGTCTTTCATTAATCCCTGGCACAGTGTCACAGGTAACATTCAGGCAGAACGTCCTCGCTCTGATTGGGAGTGGGTTTGATGAGATTGCATCTTATTATATGTGCCTTATTTACAAAGTAGATCATTATTAAAGCCTAGAAGTGCATTAGAAAAGACTTCAATAACAGGTGGTTCCTTTTCTACCCCTCCTCCCTGTCTAGGGAGAACCTTCAAAAACTGCCCCAGTTGGCTGCCATTCACCACAACAATTGTATGTATATTGCTCACCACTTGCTGACGCTTGGGCATCAGTTCAGATTACGTCTCGCCCCCATTCTTTGTGATGGCACTACTACTTTTGTGGATCTTGTACCTGGCTTCAGGAGACTTGGTAACTGATACCTTAAGTGTTGGACAATGTGGACTATGCAGATTGTCAGCCTAGTATCTTTATAATTTATGAATGAGAGAGACAGGTAGAAATTAGATGGTGGTCCTGGGCTGTACTGGAAAGTGGGAGGATATTTAATTTGCAAGTATTCCCAGTTATTTAATTTTATAAAGTGAATGTAGTCTTTGCGGAAGCATTACTTTTTCATGACATGATTTCATGGTACATTAGAGTTCTACACTGCGTTGCTGCTGTGCATTGAATTCACCAAATCAGAATTATGTCAGTAGAATGACACATAATAAGATTTGTATTGGGATACTTCTATTAATATTGTTGGTAGGAGCTCACTAATGTCAGTGCTGGTTCTGCAAAACCTCAAGACAGCTCTCCCCTCTTACACCTCCTTTAGTTTTTCTTGAGATTATTAAAAGTCAAAAGCAATGAAATGTGGGGTAAATCAATGTGTTTACTATCATGATAGCCTAAGGAAAGCAGAGAATCTGTATGGTTCACTTAGCTCTTCAATTTCTGACTTCTCCCTTAGGTAGTATAGACATATCAGAATAATAAGTAGCCCCTTTTACTATATAAGTAATTTTTCTTAGCTGACTCTGACTCTAGGCAAACTATTAGGAAAAATTTATTATCCTGAGGGTGGGGTAGAGGAACTGGCTAATGTTTTAGAAGTGATTGTTTCTCATATCCTTAGGGCAGTTTTATGACGCTCTCTAGCATTTGTTTTTGTATCGGCAGAACAGATACATGGTCTATGCCTAGCTCTCCTCTTCCATCTAGGTTTAATAGTGGGTAATTGACTGGCTTTTAGAATTCTTTGTTCTGTTTTCCCATTCTAGGGACAGAATGTTTTTTGGCCCAAATGCGGGCACAGAAAGATGAACTTCTGGAAAGATTATCAAGTGCTAGAAACTTTGCAAATATGGATGACGAAGAGAATTATTCTGCAGCAAGTAAAGCAATCCGGCAGGTGGGAGGCTGTCGATGGTGCTGGAATTTATATTCTGTCCTTAGATGCCCCCCTTTATATTTTCAAAGCCACAAAGAATATGTAACAAGTAGCTCAGTTGGTTTCCCTACCTGCACCCCTTCTGGAAAATCTAGAAAACTTTTACAGTTATGTTTAAGAACTTTTCCTTTACCTATCCTACCGAAACAACAGGAAGCTATCTTTCCATTTACCCAGTAATGACTAGTTATCTCTTCAGTCTCTTGCAGCGAGTAGTCGATGCATGAACTTGGATTTGGGAAATTTGAAAATTGGCTTTATCTTAATGCCTGTCTCTCTTAAGTGATTATCTTTTGACTGTGATTTTCCCATCAGGATGAGTCTTTCACCTATCAGGGATATCACTAAGGTTAAATATTCAAGGAGCATGCATTCTTGATTATTTTACCTCCCCTTTGTGTAATGCCTCTTTCTCCATACACATAGAAATGGTAAATGTAAATCTGGAAAATACGAGTTGTTGCAACAATCTTTCTTTCATGTAAATAGCTATATTCTTCTTATAGGTACTGCACCAACTAAAGAGACTTGGAATTGTGTGGCAGGATGTCCTGCCAGTGAATATATATTGCAAGGCTATGGGGACTTTACTCAATACAGCAATTTCTGAGATCACTGGCAGAATCACTGCCTTAGAGGTAAGGGTCTTGAGATGCTACACCAGGCATGAGATGCGATTCTTGTCTCAGACTGTGACTTTACTAAAAAAATGATGTTGCTGTCTCACTTCTAGTCAACGCAGATGGTAGAAGTAATTGTTCATGTTGCGTGTCTAACTCATGCTGTTAGGTTTTTTTAGTTTGTCTTAATTCTGTTTTGTTGGAAACTTATTAATCTCTTTTATAACTATAAAAGTAGGATTTTATTGCTTCTCAACCTAGCCTGTGTAAATTATGAATGAGGAAGTTAGAAACTGGTTGGTGGTCCTGAGCTGTATAGTGTGAAGTCCCTTAATTTGCAAGTGAATTTAATAATTTAGTTTGTAAAGAGAATGCTGTGTCATACTGCATATTTTTCCAACATACTGTTGTAATTGAGATTGGATCTCAGAAAAATTGGAAAACTGTCTGGATTTGGCCTGCTGATGCCTCTCTAAAGCATAGATTGTCTAAACTCTTAATTGTAATAACATCTCCTGCTTTGCAACAAGCTGTGCCATGTTCTTCTGGAGAAATGGGCTCTTTGATGCAGGCAAACTAAATTACTGACAGTCTGTTGAAACACATTTTGTGTCATTCTAGTATTAGGAGTATCGTCAGAGAACTGATGAAATCTAGGGTCTAGGCTGTGTGCAGTGACTCATGCCTGTAACTGAAGCGCTTTGGGAGGCCAAGGCAGGAGAATTGCTTGAGGTCAGAAGTTCAAGACCAACGTAGTTCAAGCTAGGCAACATAGTGAGACCCCATCTCTACAAACAGTTAAAAAAAGAAAAATAAGCTGGCTGGCACCTGTGGCTCAAAAGGGATAGGGCACCAGCCCAATATACCAAAGGTAGCAGTGAACCTGGCCCCGGCCAAAAACTGCAAAAAGAAAAATTAGCTGGGCATAGTGGCTCATGCCTATAGTCTCAGCTACTTGGGAAGCTGAGGCAAGAGGATTGCTTGAGCCTGGGAATTTGCAGTTACAATGAGCTATGTCTGGTCACTGTATTCCAGCTTGTACAACACTGTGTTTTTTTTTTTTGAGACAGAGTCTCACTATGTTGCCCTGAAACACTTGGGCTTAAGTGATTCTCTTGCTTCTCTTGCCTCAGCCTACCATGTAGCTGGGACTACAGGCGCCCACCACAATGCCCGGCTATTTTTTGTTGCAGTTGTCATTGTTGTTTAGCTGGCCCAGGCCGGGTTTGAATCCGCCAACTTTGGTGTATGTGGCAAGCACCGAGCCAACAGTGTCTAGTACTGTATAGTAAATTGGTTGGAAAACCTGCTGCTATAGCTGACCTACCTGGACAGCATGCATCAAGATCTGCTGCCCTTCCCCCACCACTAAGCTGACCCAGCTCTATTCTGTTGTGTTTCCTTTGCACAAAATCCAGGACATCTCTACTGAAGATGGGAATAGATTATATTCCTTATGTAAAACAGTGGTGGATGAAGGACCCCAAATATTTGCACCTTTATCTGAAGAAAGCATGAACAAGAAATATCAGGAAGAGGTTCCAGTCTATGTGCCAAAGTGGATGCCTTTCAAAGAATTGATGATGATGTTACAAGCCAGCTTGCAAGAAATTGGGGATCGGTGCGTGTAACCCTTTTATATAGTCCTTTATCGATCCATGGTACAAAAGAGTACCGTTGGTTAACGGTGCTTTTCTCTTTTTTTTTTTTTGAGACAGAGCCTTAAGCTATCCCCCTGGGTAGAGCGCTGTGGCATCATGCTCACAGCAACCTCCAACTCCTGGGCTCAAGTGAGTCTCCTGCTTCAGCCTCCCAAGTAGCTGGGACCACAGGCGCCTGCCACAACGCCTGGCCGTTTTTTGGTTGCAGCCATCATTGTTGTCTGGCGGGCCCGGGCTGGGGATTCGAACCCGCCACCTTAGGTGTATGTGGCTGGCGCCTTAGCCGCTTGAGCCACAGGCGTGGAGCCGACAGTGCTTTTCTCTGTTTCTTAATGTTACTCAGAAACAAGTTTCCTATTGAGCTAGCAGTAGTTGCAGCCTTTTCACGAATTATCCTAGGGCAAATCTCATTACCACTTTCTCATATTTGATGATATAAAGACTTCCCATTCATATCATTCGGTCTTGAACATGTGGTTGTGATATTCTGTAAAAGTGATCTGGCATTTGTAAGAATTACAGACTTCTGACACCTGGATGGAAACTGTTGCTTACTTTTAGGCAATAGTAGATGCATGTTAAGAATGACTTTGATATTTTAACAGAGAAGTGACTTTCATCTGTCTGAAATTTTCAACATCAAACTATTGTATGACCAGCAGTCTTTCTGCAGGGAGTGCAGTAGTTTTAGAGATTAGGCACCATACCTAGAAAGGATTTATCTCGTCTTAAATATAACCGTTATTTTTATCCAGCCCCATCAGTGAATGTTGGTGTGCCCACTAAGTGTATACTGTGTTGTGTCATAGTGTGCAGAGGCCACTGGCACTGTGTCAATAGATGGGGTCAGTAACACATCCACGGGTGCTTTTATGTTGTCATGGTAGATTATTCATCAGTATGTGTACTTTGCACAGGGATCTCCATATGGGTACTTGTCTCATCTGCTTTAACTGGGCTTACTACACATGTCCTGTTATATTAGACGAGTTATCCTAGATGTGTCTGAGTTGTTTGTTGCAACTGTTCGTTTGTATAGCAATGTAAATGAGATTTCTGCTTGAAAAAAAATCACATCAAAATATCTAATCACATTTAGTACAAAGTTTTGAATTATTCATTTGTTTATATGTCCTAAAGTAGGTAAAAAAGATGCCTTAAAGTAAGGTTCCAGAGGGTTGGCAGCAGATAAGAATTCTTCTTTCTGGGCTCGGCACCTGTGGCTCAACCGGCTAGGGCGCCAGCCACGTACACCTAAGGTGGCGGGTTCGAATCCCCAGCCCGGCCCCGCCAAACAACAATGACGGCTGCAACCAAAAAACAGCCTGGCGTTGTGGCGGGCGCCTGTGGTCCCAGCTACTTGGGAGGCAGGGGCGGGAGACTCGCTTGAGCCCAGGAGTTGGAGGTTGCTGTGAGCTGTGATGCCATGGCACTCTACCCAGGGAGACAGCTTGAGGCTCTGTCTCAAAAAAAAAAAAAAAAAAAAAAAGAATTCTTCTTTCTGCTGCTAAAAGGCTTTCTTTGTTTATTTTTAGTTTCAGGTTAATAAGGGGGTACAAATGTTTAGGCTACACTGTTTTCATTTCTAAGGTAAAGTTCAGGGTGTAGTTGAGCCCTTCACCCCATGTGGGGTGTGCTGAACACACTCGCATTATGCACATTAGGTGAGGTCCCGCCAGTCACCCTCTGTCCTCCCCTCTCCACTCTCTTTCCTCTCCCCTCCCCTAAAAGGCATTCTTGTAGCCTATGAATGATCATTAATTCCTCATTCAGAGAAAAATTACAACTTCTTTTCTCTGCCTAGGAGATTTTTTTCTTTCAAAGATTTCAGTTAATATAAAGCTTATATCTAATTAAGAATATTTTTTTACCCAACAAGCTACTTCTAGTCATGTAATTTAAACATTTTAAAGTTGTAAAATGTACATAGAAAGGAATACAGTATTGTGTTCTACATTTATACAATATGTAATTCAGAGTTTAAAAAAAAGAATAAATAAATGTTCATGTACCCATTACCTAACTAAGAAAAATAATGCCAGTGCCTTTGAAGACCCCAAGACCCCTGTATATCCTTCTCCAAATGTTCTCCTTGAGGGGTAACCACTAGCTTGAATTTTGTGTCATTTCCTTGCCTTTCTTTTTATAGTCTGTCTTTATTTACACAGATTCCTAAACAATATAAAGTTAGATTTGCCTGTTTTTGAACTATCTGTAAGTGGAAACTTCTGTAACTTATTTATTTTGTTTAATATTATGTTTTCAAAATCTTTTCATGTTGTGTATAGTTACAGTTCATTCTTACTATTGTGTCATATTCCATTTTACAAATATTTTATATTTTATTTGTCCTGTTGAGTCACATTTTCACTAGTATGTGGAATTGTCAGAGTTGAAATTGTTGCTAATCTAGTTGGTATGAAATGATAGCCCATTGTCATTTTTAATTTGCATTCCTCTAAATTCTAATGAGGCTGAGCATCTTTTCTTTGGTGATTTATGTTTCTCCCATTGCAAAATGACTATTTTCTTTCCCTTTATTCTAACAGGTTGTTGGCTATTTCATTATAGATTCTTAGGAGTTCTTTATGTAATTTTTATGCCAGTCCTTTGCCAGTTAAAATTTGTTGCCTGTGGTTCACTTTTTAATATAGTTACATGAGAGGCATGAGAGTGTGGTCATGATTGTTAAGTTCAGAGAGGGCTTAGTGAGTATGGAATTAGGGAGAACAGTCTCTTCTTCCTCACTGGGTCTCCTCAGCTGGCTGTTCTGATGCCAGATGCAGCTGGAGGTCAAAGATAGTGAAGGGTGGTAAGTTGGGAAGGACGCCCAGGATTTATTTTCTGTTCACAGCAAATAAACAGATTTCAAGTCTTGCTTATACATCAGAGACCTAATAGGAAAGTGAATTCTATCCTTTGTTTTACAGGTGGGCAGATGGAAAAGGGCCTCTGGCAGCTGCATTCTCTTCCAGTGAAGTAAAAGCTTTAATTCGTGCCTTGTTCCAGAACACAGAAAGAAGAGCAGCTGCCCTTGCCAAGATTAAATAGCTCCATCATCTTGAGAAAGCTGTGATTTCTGAACTATATGGATTCTTTCCTTGGCTTAATCACTCCCTTGAAGATTTCTTGGAGTCATCCATAGGTTTGGTGAACCGATTCATCATAGAAGTTCAACTTTACAGAAGAACCTCTTACGTCCTGGGTTGTTTGAAGCTTTGTTTAAGAAGTGGATATTAAAATAAGTTGTCAAGTAAAGCACCTCAGTTCATTGACTTTCTCACCACCCTCCTTTGATTAGATGAGAAACTGTCATGCTGCTTCCAGCACCTTCTGGGAACTATATGTTGTAAACGGAGGCCCTGGCTTTGGAGTAAGGAATCCAGGAGATTCCGTATGTCAGGGTAGAGAATTTGTGAACAAATGGGAGATTTTTGGGGGGGAGAAAGGGGCAGGAACCAGGGATACTATATTTAGCCTTGCAGAAATTAATGAGACTTCTTGTAATATTTCTCTCCAATAAATGATGCTTTCTAGAGTTAAGGGTGACTGACTTTTTTTTTTCTTTTGGGACTTTGTCACCCCCAGTAGAGTGCTGTGGCTTCATAGCTCATAGCAACCTCGAACTCTTGTGCTCAAGCAATTCTCTTAGCCCCGAGTAGCTGGGACTATAGGCACCTGCCATAACTGTAACGCCTGGCTGTTTTTAGAGACAGGATCTCCCTCATGCTCAGGCTGGTCTTGAACTCCTGAGCTCAATCGATCTACCTGCTTTGGCCTCCCAGAGTGCTAGGATTATAGGCCTGAGCCACTGCGCCTGGCAAGGGTGACTGTTTTTAATAACATGGGGGCTTTAATAAGAAACCAACAAATTTTCTTACCTTCTATGCCATTCTTTGTGTTGAAGTATATGAGACTCAGAAGTCTCACTAACTTACCTCCTTTTTTCCTAACGCTACCTGATAATTTCTCAGACTTCCTAGGACTTTCTCTAATTATAAATTATTCATATTTTTTGCTATTTCAACTAAATTTTATTTTCTTGGTTGGATATTTTCCCCCTTTCTCAAGCTCACTGTTGCTAGACATTGTGAAATGGCAAAGTTTTAAATTGCCAGTGATCCTTTGGAAAGTACGTTCTATGAGATGCTAATTCTGGGCTGTGTAGCCTAATTCTTTATTTGTTGTACTTAAGTTATCTTTCAGCTCAACTTTTTGTAATTTTATTTATTTACTTATTTTTGAGACAGAGCCTCAAGCTGTCCTCCTGGGTAGAGTGCTGTGGCATCACAACTCACAGCACCCTCCAACTCCTGGGCTCAAGCGAGTCTCCTGCCTCTGCCTCCCAAGTAGCTGGGACCACAGGCGCCCGCCACAATGCCCGACTATATTTTGGTTGCAGCCGTCATTGTTGTTTGGCGGGCCCGGACTGGGCTTGAACCCACCAGCTCAGGTGTATCTGGCTGGTGCCTTAGCCGCTTGAGCCACAGGCGCCGAGCCAGTTTTTCTATTTTTAGTAGAGACAGCATCTCATTCTTGCTCAGGCTGGTCTCGAACTCCTCAGCTCAAGCAGTCTGTCTGCCTTGGCTTCTCAGTGTGCTAGGATTATAGGCATGAACCATCGTGCCCAGCCTAACTTTTTGTATTTTTAACTCTTTGCAGCCATTGGATGAATTTAAGATTATTTTGGATTTATTGTTCTAGGACTCTGGACTGTACCTCTTCCCATTGAAATATAGTTTCCCCTCCAGAAAAGAGGGTTAAAGTTGTGATCTTTATGGGCTTTTGAATCAGGAGCTTTCTGAAGGAAGTTGCTAGTACAATAGGAGTGCTTCCTTACTCCTCAGCCTCCTAATCTCTTGCACACGAAGAACAAATTGTTTTTCCTCTTGCCTTCCAGCATTCTCTAACTTCTCCCCCTTGTTCTTCAACCTGGCCTGGCACCAGAATAAGCTCATTTGATTGCTTAGTCTTTCTTTTTCCTATTTGAGTGTCATGGAGAAACTGTTAAGGAAGAAGACTAGTTTTCTTTTGATGACAAGACTAAGCCATGGTTAACATGCTATTTGTCTATATTCTGCATGTCCTACTATGAGAACTCAGAAAACCAGCTTTGGTTTATTTTGGGGGAATAATGGGGTTGCTTTTTTAGGAGGGCAGGAAGGGACTATTTTCACGGGTGAAGAAAATATCCATTTTTGAAAATTCACATAATTTCAGGTAGCATTACTTCTTTTAGCAATTGACAGAATGGGGAACTAAGGGCAGAACTGAAATAAATGTATCAGAGAGGACTGTTACACAGAATAGCTGATTTCTTTTGTTCATAGCAGCTATTCCTGTTGCTTGACAGGTATAGCAATTTGGAGGTGGGATCTCTTATAACTGAAAAGTATGCTCTTCATTCCTCCCCTCCCCACAGTAACACAGAAAACTGCACTGCAGTTCTTAGCTGTGTAGGTGCAGGCCCTCGGAACTCTTTTCTCCTTATGAATAGTTTATATACTATGGCACATAGAGTAGGCAGACGGTCTTCTTCCCTGGCCAAGCCAGATGCTAGTAGATTAAGTGGATGTTCATTCTGGTTAGGGATGAATTATCTGATTAAGCATGTGGGACTAGGGTCTGGAAGCTCTTACAAGACCTTTGAGGGTACCTGTTCTGCTTGGGAACTTGAGTTGTGATGGGAGTAGAACCTTCTTCCTTTCTTTAGAAAGAACATGGAGCATCTTTTGCCTTATGAATTATTTGGTAGATCAGTGGGTCAAGTAGAAGAAAACCCTTCTGAAAGAGCAATCAGTATTTTACAAATGATTTCAAGAAAGATATTTCAAGATTGTAAAAAAGGGAACGTTTTTGTTAAAAAGACCAGTCTGCAAACAGCTTAAATCTGTGAGATGACTTGGCTGTGGCTCCTGTTTCCATGTGGGTCCCGGGTTGTTGGTGACCTGTTTTATGGTCAGTTTTCTCTTTGAAGTGCAGATCCTCCAGATGGCACTATTTCCTTAGCCTGGGAGCAGCACAAGGCCTCCAGACCTGATCTGTGAAAAGGGAAACCCAGGGAACCTGTCTGTTTTACCCTGAGCTTATATTCTGGCCTTGGTTTCTTCCAGAAAGGTCATCCAGACTGAACAACATCTATACTTCAAGCTGCAGTATACTGCAGAACAATCACTTGTAAGTAAATCAAACAGTATTTTCGTTGATAAATAATGCTGTTGAAGGAGATGTGGATAATCCCTTTCTCTTATTACCACTTAAGGCAATGATTTCCAGCTTTTGTGGGATTTTATTCCATTGTTTATCTGATTTCCCGAGATTTTGTCTCTATTCTGAAAGCACTGAGTGGTATACACAAATACACACACATACCCCCTATGGTATTTTTGTAATTGTAAGAAAACTGGCCCAAAGAAATAGTTTGTTCAAGCTCCATAGCTTAGTATGTGCTGGGGATAAATGAAGGTGTGTATAGGGGTAACCTCTTAAGCTATGGGAGAGAGCCGTAAATGCAAAAGGGATACGTTTATTGGAAATTGCCTCATGTACAAAAAGTCTTGGCACAAAGTAGTTTTAAACTGGATTTCGGTGCCCATAATCTTCCCTAATCATGAAGAAAATTTTGAACATTCGTCTTGTGATAACTTCTGTGGGGAGCGGGCTGTGAGGCAGCAGGGCCCCAACCTGGGGAGGGGTTAGGAAATGACCCCCCAGCTGCTTCTCCTCCTTTAACAACAAACATTCTTTTCACCTGCCAGAAGTCCCGTAGTCCAGGCATGCTTTCCTTCTTACCCTCAAGCACACAGCTTTTCCTCCTTAAAGTTAATCTTTACCCCAGGTGTTAAGATTTACCTTGTTAAAGATCCTGTATAAATAAAGCTGTTTCTACAGCTCAGTGCTGGCTGCAGTCATCAGCTGCACCATTCCTCCCCATCCCATCTTTTGTCTCTTATCTGTCTTTCTGATTTCCCACCATTCCCACTCAGGTTATTTCTCCTTCCTTGCGCAGGTTTGTGAAAAACTTTGTCTTAAAAATATGCATTTTGTCAAATCCTAAAATTTCCTAATAACGATAAAGCCCCAGTTTTGACAACTTTTCCAATTATTGTATGGCTTAGACAGAAATTCTTCACTTTGTTGTGAGGAGTTTGGTTAAGAATTTTGCGATATCACAAGCTATAACTGGAAATGATCTTAGATGTCTCTAAGCTAAGTTATGAAATATCTACCCAGCAGCTGGGGAGGAGTGCAGTGGTTCTGATGAGCTATGTATAAGTTCTTCACTCCTCTTCAGAAATTAGGTGCCCCAGTTTTTTTGTTTAGCACAAAAGAATAGGGTGGGAGTAGACGGTAGCTACTCCAGTTACCAAAGAAAAACCAAGGTCAAAGACACCTACCTCCTCCCTTGGCACAAGCTTCTAATGGTTCTAAGACTTTGTACTTTTCATTCTCCTCATATTTATTGGCTGCCAGGCATTGTTTTAGTCACTAAACTACAATGACAACAGAAACCAACAAAAAGTCCCTATCCCTTTGATAATTTAAATTCTAGTGACAAAAGATAATACATCAGAAATAAGTAAATTATATAGTGTGTTTGAAGATGATAAGGGAAAAAAATAATGTAGGGTGATGAAGATTCAGAGTTCCAGAGAAGAGGGGCAGAGGATGAGCTGCAGTTCTAAACAGGAGGCCAAAGGGTATATCTCCTTGAAAAGGTGAATGAGCTGTGTGGGTACAACTCTAAGCAGACAGACCAGCTTTGCAAAGGCCTAAGGTGGGAGGAGGGTGTCTGGTGAGCTCAAGGAATAGTGGAGAGTGAGGGAGCAAGTGGGCAGCATGGAGGCTAGAGAAGTAACAGGTGGCGGGCAAGATTGTGTTGGGCCAGCCAGTCTAAGGATTATAGGTTTTTGGTTTTACTGAGTCTAAGGGTGAACACTTAGTAGCTTAAAATCTCTTAAAAAAATAGAAACATAGAAAAGTAGAGAGAATAGAGTGATAAACCCCAGTGTATGCATCACTCAGCTTTAATAATTGTCAACACATGGCCAGTCTTACTTCATCCATGCCCCTCTTCCCTCCCTCCCTGCCCCTGTTCCCACAACACACACTGGAATATTGAAGTAAATGCCCGGCAGTGTATCTCAAACTTAGGGCTCATTCCATAGTCTGTGATTTTTGTTTCTTTGGAAGCTTTCTCTTGTCGCATCCTTTCTTCAGTTCTTGTTCACCTGTCTCTGCCCCCAGGAGCTGTCCTCGAGCTGCCTGCCTCCCTTCTCCTTCCTCTAACCTCAGTTCTCCCCTCAGACTCACCCTACTATATACACTCCCTGCCATCCCCTGAACACTTGATATTAAATAACAAACACTCCCAAAGCAACTGATATCTGACTCATGCCTCCACCTCCCCTTGTCTCTTCCTTCCCTCTGCCCAACCACTTCCTCCAGCTAACCCAATCCCATAATTTTTCCGTGTTTGAAAGCTGCATGGAAGACTCTCCTTTTGCTGAATATTTGAGCAGAGACGATACCCCTTATACTCT